ACACACACACACACACACACACACACACACACACACACACACACACACACACACACACACACACACACACACACTCTGCCTCTGTGTTCAACAGCACAAGCATTCCACATTAATGGTTTGCTTTGTGTCCCGGAGCAGATCAGCACAGCACACAACGGCTGTCAGAGTAGTGCTTTGAAAGGGGGGGGCACATGTCTCCAGGGCAGCCGAGTTCAAAACAATGAACAGAGTGGTCACTTGAGGCATTATGGGACAGCTCTGGAGGCTAATTACAGCGCAGAAAGCAATCAAGTGTCTACACTGGCAATAGAGTGCTGGAGCCTCTGCGCAAATAGCCTTATGACTCTCGTCAAGGTGGTTTTTTTGCCATGCTGCAACTGAGGAGTTTCTGCACACAAAGTGGCTTGGCAGTGTGTACACGGCTGCAGTTTGAGCACAAAAAGCTGCTTTACTGTGCGGAAACTTGACAGTGTAGATAAGCCCTAAGTGAGCTGGATTGTAGTCCTGGGGAATGAGCAACGGACCTGTTTGCTATGCTCAATCATTTATACTTGTGCAAACCCAGTGGTGACAAGTGATAGCTGCACAGGTGTCAGGGAGGGGCCCATTTGCCTTGCAGAACCTTAGAGGTGGTGATGCATGAGACGCAAAGAGCCCAGATTGATGAGAGCTCAGGCACTCTTGCTTGAGCCTGGTCTGAACTGTTCTCAGACCCAGGGATGAGAGACACAGCTCTGGCAGGGCAGTTCTGTGGAGGGGGGCTATGTACATTGGTAGAAGTAGCATTCTTCAAATGAAAAGTTAACTTGAGAAGTCCCTATACCTGATTTTATTATCTCATTGCCAATTAATAATAATAATAGTTAATAACCTGGAGGTGTTGTCAGCTCCTTTCTTGAGAGTTTGCTTTACTTGACCTACAATGCTCGTTAAACTTCATCCTGTCCAAACCTTCACCTTCAGAGTGGAGACAGCTGCTGCCCTGGTAAAATAGTTACTTTGTTCCCCAGCTCTATCCCATTAATCAAACAATGCAGAAGTGTTAATACACAAATTTAAATTGACCATGTGATGAGCAAATATTTATTGATACGCTACTGCTTGTCTATTCCACGAACGCTGCGTCTGCTTTTCAGCCCACAATGACTCATACTGATGTATTGAGAAACTTGCCAAAGTTGCATTGAAGTGTTTGACTAGGTGGCAGAGGCTTATTTAATTAATGACAGGGGACAAATATTCTGTACTCCAGGGAATGATCCAGGGTGCTTTGAACAGAGTTTAAACTGCTTTCTCACTCATTTGTCAACAAATCACAAACACAGGGCTGCCTCCCCTGAAGGTTTGGAAGAACATAACACCTTCATTGATATCATGGCCCCATTGAAGACAATAACAAAACTCCCATTGACTTCAACGGGGCAATGCAATCTTCTCTTGTGTATGTTGGTGTGCTAAAGGTTCCCCAGGATGGTGTATTCACCCCGGAATAGGCTGGGTGAATCAATTGTGTGGATCTGAATCTAGACTCTGAGGGGGTAAAAGACCCAGAGTTTTATCTTCTTATTCTGTGTACTGCAGTAGCATCTCTGGGTCCCGACCAGAGCCTGTCATGCCAGAAGCTAGACAGAGAGCAAAATTGTCCCTGCCTCAAAGAATGAACATTCTAAACGAGGTGAGATAAACAGAGGGGAGGACCAGATACCACTGCATAGTGGTATCTGGTATAATAAGCAGCAGTCTCCCTTTCCATTCCTCCTATCTCATTTAGAAACCAAACCAAACCCTCTGTTTCATAAGAACGGCCACACTGGGTCAGACCAATGGTCCATTAAGCGCAGTATCCTGTCTTCTGACAGTGCCTGGCACCAGATGCTTCAGAGAGAATGAACAGAACTGGGCAATTAGAACGATCCATCCTCTGCCGTACAGTCCCAGCCTCTGGCAGTCAGAGGCTTAGGGACACCCAGAGCATGGGGTTGCATCACTGACCATCTTCGCTAATAGCCATTGATGGCCCTATCCTCCACGAACTGATCTAACTCTCTTTTGAACCCAGTTATACTTTTGACCTTTACAAAATCCCCTGGCAATGAATTTTACAGGTTGATTGTGCCTTCTGTGAAGAAGTACTTCCTTATATTTTTTTAAAACCTGCTGCCTATTAATTTCATTTGGTTACCCCTGGTTCTTGTGTTATGCGAAGGGGTAAAAAGTACTTCCTTATTCATTTTCTCCACACCAGTCATGATTTTATAGACCTCTATCATATCCCCCCCTTTTTCATCAATTTTCCAAGCTGAAGAGTCCCAGTCTTTAATCTCTTTTCATATAAAGCTGTTCCAGATCCCTAATTCTTTTTTGTTGCATTTCTCTGCACTTTTTCCATTTCTAATATATCTTTTTTGAGCTGTGGTGACCACAGCTGCATGCAGTATTTAAGGTGCGGGAAGGCCACCATGGATTTATATAATGGCATTATGCTATTTACTCTTATTATCTATCCCTTTCCTAATGGACATTAACATTCTGTTCGCTTTTTTTGACTGCCACTGCATATTGAGCTGAAGTTTTCAGAGAACTATCCACAATGACTCCAAGATCTTTCTTGCGTGGTAACAGCTAATTTAAACCCGATCGTTTTGTATGTATAGTTGGGATTGTTTTCCAGTGTGCATTGCTTTGCATTTATCAACACTGATTTTCATTGGTCATTTTCCCCCCAGTAACCCCGTTTTGTGAGATCCCTTTGTAATTCTTTGCAGTCAGCTTTGGACTTAATGATCTTGAGTAGTTTTGTGTCATCTGCAAACTTTGCCACCTGACTGTTCACTCCTTTTCCCCACTCATTTATGAATGTGTTGAACAGCCTTGGTCCCAGTAGAATGGGAACAGAATTAGTTGTTACCCCATTGGAAAACAGGGAACATGAGTATGGCCAGAGAAATGAGTATGGCAAGCAGGCATATTTGCTCAGTACCACCTCAGCTGGCTGTGAGTCTCCTTCCAATTCCAACGTGAAGGAGGCAACATGCACTTGGGATTAGGGAGATCTGTGCTTAAAAATTTTTTTTAAACCAGGCAGCAGCAATACAGGCTACTGCCCGACTTGCCCCAGTGAGCTCACTGCTGCCATTCCTCCTTTGCAGCCCCAGGGCTTCCTTAGAGCGATTGTTCCTGCCAGCAGAGATGAGAAATGCTACTTCATGTCCTAGTGAAGCTTCAATGCTCTTATCAGTTTGAATTTCCCCAATATTCCTCAGAGCATGTCTGCTGCTTCCTTGTGAGTTCCAATGATACTCAATGCTCAAGTCATTACATAGCACCCAAGGTACACAAGTGGACCAGACAAGAGACAGGTGGTCCTGACATCAATAAAATGGAACAGGATTTATTTCAAAGGTATAAAATAAAATACACTTACGTGATCAGGTGCCTTTTGAATTTCAGCATGGTGTGCTGGGGCGTTCACAAGAGCACCGACTCCTATTGTGAGAACTGCGTGAGATGGGAACTGTGTAAAGCAAATATGTTTTGCCTTTTCCTGAGAGGCTGCTCCAAAGAGCCCCTCCCAGCTATTCCCTCAGGCAGTGAGCATGGCGCGTACATTCCAAAGCATGCACTGTACCTGAAGGCTCGCTGCCAGCGACCCAGGGACTACTCTGGGTTAGCACCTTTTCAACTGAAAAGCAAATGGCAAACAATGGTTTGTTTGCACAGTTGGGCTGTTTCACACCAAGTGTCCTTGTATACGATTTACTTTCTGTGCATCTAATTCATAGAGTACCCTGGTGGAAAGGGGGGGAGGTAGCTGTGCCATGCAGATTCATGGTGCTCTCTGCAGTAGGGTCTGCTCACTGCCATGGTTGCACATGCTAGAAACTGTTTTGTCTGGCTTTGCTCGGACATCTCGGTTACATTACTCTGCAATTGTGCTTACAAGGGAGGGTTCGATCATGCCCCTTCTCTTCCATCTCCAGGGTGGTTGCTTGGGGCCTTGTCTCTCTCTATAACTGCATCCTAATCGCTGGCCGTTCAGTCTTCGTGGTTGCTACCATGTGCCCCTAAGCTCACTCACAGTGGCTTCCAGGGCTAGGCACTGGCCATGCCATTTGAATAGGGAGTTACAAGGATGAGCAAAGTCCAGGAGAGAAGAATCAGCATGTGAACTTTGAGGGACATGCAGACAGGTTGCAGCCAGCCTCTCAGAAGCTCTGCAGCCCATTGAGTGTTGTAGCATAAGCCAAGCTCCAATTAGTGGCTGAGGAGGAAACTTTCTCTGGGTGCAGGTTATTCTGTAAGAGATGATTACAGCATTTTTTACATTTTCCTCTGAAGCATCTAGCACCAGCTGCTGTTAGAGACAAGGTACTGGACTAGCTGGATGACAGGTCTCATCCAGTCTGGCAGTTCTAAACCTAAGCAGTAAGGTCAGTCTTGGCCCCAGAGTCACTGCACAGGAACAAACCTCCATCCACATTGCTCTTCCAGAAGCAATTTGTGGCCAGAGGGATGGTCTGAGGACTTAGGGGTTAGTGTGTGCCCATGGTGTTAGCCTGTATGGAGAGAGCGAGGCCTGCGAAGGCAGCGCTTGTGCTGCCAGGGGCTGGTGGAGTCAGGGAGCTGATCCACATCAGGCACAGATCTGTGAAGGACAGGTGGTAGTGAGGTGCCCCCCAACCCTGGGTATCCCTGGGAGGTGTCAGGCTATTTCAGGGGCAGTGAGGCAGCTGACCGCTCCCATGGCAAGCAGTCTGTGGGGTTTGTCACTCAGGGATTCTCAAGAGTCCATAAAGTTTGGTCCCAATCCACCAAAGGCCCATGTTTGTTTACAAGAGTTCTCAGAAACACAAGGGAATGTATACAGGGCTGAGCCATATCATGCTAACGTCTGAGACACAAACAGATCTTGCTCTGTTTCATACATCTGTATCTTGGTAAGCCAAGATCAACAATGGTGCCTCTTACTGTGATGTAGGGCGACCAGACAGCAAGTGGAAAAAATCGGGACAGGGGGTGGGGGGTAATAGGAGCCAATATAAGAAAAAGACGCAAAAATTGGGACTGTCCCTATAAAATCGGGACATCTGGTCACCCTACTGTGATGACAGCAAACCACAGCCAACAGACCAGTGTCGCTCCGATCTGAGATTCTGGCCTGGAAGAAGGGCAGCAGCAGCTGTATATTTGCAGGGCCACAACCAGGTCCCCCTTCCAGTCCCCACCTTGTATCAGTATCTCTGTCTGACGGTCAGTCTGACCAACATTGTTAAACACGGTCCCGGTCTCCTTCTCCCAAAGCTAAGATGCAGAATCATGGCAAAAGGCGATAGAGCAGGGTAAGGAAGGCAAAACAAGCATGATTTTGTGCTCACCTCACCGGGGTCAGAGTTTAGGTAGGGGGAGAGCAAAGGTCAACTGAACCTCACATTATGGGCTGGTATGGCCCTAGCACAAGTTAAAGCAGCCCTGGGGTTGCTCTGATTTTCAGCAGCTGCCACCTTTTGATTGTACTGAAGCCCTGAGTAGCCTTGTTCGGAATGGTATTCTCTAGGTGTATTTCTGCTCCCTATTCCTCTCCAGAGTGCTATGAATGGGACAGAATCGCCTCTTCAGCCTCTGTGAAAGTTTAGCCATGCCAGAGTGCTCTGTTACACTGCTTGCTTGGACCTCTACCCCTTATCAACAGGACTCTTCCCTGGCCCTTCCAGACAGTTGTTAGAGCTCTCTTGAAATGAGGTGCCCAAAGCTGAACACAGGACAGGAGAACTGGTGTGGACCATTGGTCTCAGGTAGAAATACCTGTCCCAGTTCATGCAAGCAGAGTTGGTTTAAAACAAAAATTCTCTGACCAAGTTTTTTTATTGGAAAACATGGTTTCATCAAATGAAATCCTGAGGGTAGAAAAATCATTTTTGATTAAATGCATTTCCTGAAGTGAATGTTTTGGGAGGAAAAAACCTAAAAATTTTCAGAATTTTTGTTTAGAACTTGTGGCGTTTCCCCTGATTCCTGTTTCCTCAAATTTTCACAGTTACGGGGTAGGGGGAAAGAATCCCCTTTAAGCACACTTTAGAAACTTTCTGCAGGTAAAATGGACTTTCCCACTGGGAAAACTTCAGGGAGGGATTTTTCCCCACAAAGCTCTCCAACCAAGTATACTATTTGCTTTGTAACCGCAGCTGCCTGGACAGACCTAGTCATTGAATTACCACAATGATTTCTAGGTGACTTTTCGCAGAGACTCCAGCATTCCTGAATAGGTTAGATTAGAGTTGAACATGTGTTCTGCCTCATGTTTACCAAGGTTTAATGTAGCCTTCAAGGTGGGGGATGTCTAATCCTGCTTACTGTCCAGCTGGAAAGCCCCACAGTCCTCATAGACTCATAGACTCATAGACTTTAAGGTCAGAAGGGACCATTATGATCATCTGGTCTGACCCCCTGCATA